AAAAAAAAAAAAAAAACCCAACCAAACACACACCACCAAATCGAGTGATTTGGGAGGAAATTCCTACTTTCTGTAGGTTGGGAAAAGATAATGAGATTATGTGAAAACTCAATGAAACCAATACAGATTATGAAAGATTAACATCTGGCTTCTTATAGTCCATTTAGAATAGTGGTTTCAAAATGTTTTTGCTCATGCAGCCCCTATTTGAAATGCAATTAAAAAAAAATCAAGTTCAGATGGTTGTAAAGATTATATTTCCTTGAATATTACATAAGCTTCAAAAGGACTTTTATCAAAATTTTGGCATGTAAATATATTTAGCTTCATTAATTGAAAAAAAAATCTTTTAAAGTTATTTAGCTAATCAGACTTTATTAACTCTCTTAATATTTATTCTAAGACAGATAAGAAACAGAACCGTGCAACTGAGCACAAACCCATCCTAGCCACTTGAATAGTTAGGGGGAAATCTCCTAGTTGCAATCTTTTAGTGGCACCCTCTGGTTTGGTAGATCTGTTGCAGTCTTTTTGCAAAATTCTAAGAGAAGATTTGGTTGACAGAACTCTACCAAGTGAGATTATCTCTACCTTCATTTTTTAAATGCAAAACTTTTTTACTTAATACCTGGGAGATTCTCCTTCAGGCACTGAGAACTGGATTTTAAAAATCAAGGATTTTTTTTTTTAACAGTCTCGCTCTGTCACCCAGGCTGGAGTGCAGTGGCATGATCTCAGCTCACTGCGACCTCTGCCTCCCAGGTTCAAGCGATTCTCCTGCCTCAGCCTCCCAAGTAACTGAGATTACAGACATGTGCCACCATACCTGGCTAATTTTTATATTTTTAGCGGAGACAGGGTTTCACCATGTTGGCCAGGCTCGTCTTGAACTCCTGACCTCAAGTGATCTGCCTGCCTCGGCCTCCCAAAGTGATGGGGTTATAGGCATGGGCCGCCACACCTGGCCTCAACATTTTTGTACTCCGGGGCAAGACCCATGGTGAGACTCAATATGGCCAAGAGAAATGCTCTACTTTTGTCAAGTGGGAGAGGTGCAGGTATGGGAAGGGAGGTGGGAAAGGAAGGCTGTCAGACACACAGATTTAACAGGTAGGCAAACTTTAGAAAGACAGTACAAGCTAACAATGAAGATTTGTGATTATCTACACCCTGCAAAGCTATCATGTTACCACATAAATGCCAGTATGGAAATATTCTCCTAGAACAATGCTGCCCATCCTATTTTATATCATGGCACACACAGACAAAACATTTTTGTTTTTTGAGACAGAGTATCACTGTCATCCAGGCTGGGGAGCAACGGCGCAATCTCAACTCACTGCAACCTCTGCCTAAAGGGTTCACGTGATTCTCCTGCCTCAGCCTCCCAAGTAGCTGGGATTACAGGCATGAACAACTATGACCGGCTAATTTTTTTTACTTAGTAGAGACACAGGTTTCACCATGTTGGTCAGGCTTGTCTAGAACACCTGACCTCAGGTGATACACCTGCCTTAGCCTCCCAAAGTGCTGGGATTATAGGCATGAGCAACCATGCCCAGCCCAGGCAAAATATTTTTAAAGATATACTAAGGGTATTATGGACGAGATTACTGTGACTAGAGGCAACTGAGCCCAGACCCCTCCTAGTTACTTGAGCAGTTAGAAGGAAATCTCATATTAATTTGCAATCTTTTAGTGGCACTTTTTGGTTTGGTGGATCTGTTGCAGTCTTTTTGCAAAATTCTAAGAGAAGACTTGGTTGACAGAAAGTTTTACCATGAAAGTATCTGAGCTGCAACTGGACCTTCCCTGATTTTCTTTCACCTAGAGTTTTCTCAAGTTTCTTTCATTAGACTTTCTAGTCTGGGGTCTTTCTTACCATCTGGAAATGCCAGGACAGGGTGAACACAAGAGTCCAACTGGGAAAGACGTTCCAACAGAGGAGCTTCATAGTGAATTTCAGGAGGCATGGTGTTGATGCTGCCTGAACCACACAGTGCACAGGAGGGATTCACATCACAGCCAGAGCGGATTGTGCTGTTCCGGTGAACCTGTGAAAAAAGCCAAACAAAACTGACAATTCAACATCTGATAAA